GAATGTTATTAGACTATTTGTCATAATGGAGTAGGCCTGAGGTTAGCTAATGGATTGGTGAACTAATTATCTCACCTCAAACTAAGTTAGCAACAACCAAGGTATGGTTACAGCTGCTGTCTTGGCACCTACTTCCTGGTACTCATCCTACAGCCATCTTCTTAATTTCTCCTCATTAATAGCTTATTATTTGTGCAACAAAAGTAGCCAGAATATCAGCATTTACCCTAGATCCTGGAGCCCCACTTACCACAGGGTGATAGGAAATGATAGGGCACCTGGCACTACCTATGCAGTAGGTTGCATTAGAGGAGAGGGAAGCTTAGTTTAAGGAACCTACATTTTTATAATGGACAGTAAGAATGCTTTCCCTTTGCTCTGGAAGGAGACATTTCTTATATTTGTGTAACCATTTTTGCTTTTTGCTCCAGAGGGAATTATTATTTTACAAAGATTTTTATTAAAACATACTTCAAAATATAGTGGGGAACAAAGAACACTCAGTGCCTTGCTTGCAAAATGTACACAAGACACCCATGCAAGATTATTTTACAACAATGTAAAAGAGAGAAATTGGTAGAAATATGCCACCTGACAAGTAATAATGACAAATTTCTCTGTGACTAATAGTATACAGCATCTCCCACTTGTTTACCTGGTTGCCAATATATATTTTTAAATTCCATATATGTTGCTAACTTGATACATATAAAACTCCATGTCATTTTGATTTCCATTTTCCTGAGTACTGGTGAGATCTGTAATATCATGAAATATTTATTGAGCACCTACTAGGTACAAGGTACACTTCTAAGTATGTGGTATATATCAGAGAACATTAAGAGAAAGCATTTTCTTATAGAACTTACATTCTGGCAAGGGGAAAACAATAAACTCATTAACTAAGTAAATTATATAGTATGTTAGAAGATGACATATGTGATGAAAAAGGTAATATAACAGGGAGAAGATAGATTAAGGCAATATATACATATATGTGTATGTGTGTGTGGGGTGTGTGTGTGTGTGTGTGTATTCAGGGTCTCACTCTGTTGCTTGCACTGGCATCATCATAGCTCACTACAACTTCAAACCCCTTGGCTCAAGTGATCCTTCTGCCTCAGCCTCTCAAGTCCCTCAGACAACAGGTGCATACCATCATGCTGAGCTACTTTTTCTATTTTTTTAAAAAATACAGGGTCTTGCTCTTGCTCTTGCTCAGTCCAGTATTTTTACTGACCATGAGGTCCCCTATTATGTGAATTGCTGGTTCACATTTTGTGACCAATATCTATGGGCCATTATTTGCCTTAAAATGAATTCTTATTTATTTCATTGATCTTGATCATTCACATTTGTAGCCAAGTATTATTAGATTTTCCCCAACTTTGTATAAGAAAAAACTGGAATTAGAGAATTACATATTATAATATCAAATTAATCAAAATTTCCTTCAATAACTGTGTTTTGTGCCTTTATATAAAATACTTCCTATTTCCAGGAGACAAATAAACATACTCCCTCATTTTAAAGGTTTTATAAATGTTTTCAAGTTTAGATATTAACTTTCTGTTCCACATGGATTTTATTTTGTTTCCAAAATGTCGTAAAGAATTTTACTATATAACCTATGGATAACCAGTTAACACAGAACCACTTAATGAATAAAATGTTTTTTTTTTTTTTTTTTTTTATAACTCATTTAAACTGTCTTCTCTGTTAAGATTCGAGAATCCTATGTGGAAAGCTCTTTGTAGGTAACTCTTCTGGTACATTGGTATATTGGATGTTGCTTTTTCCAATTTTGGAAATCATAAAGACTATCTTACAGAGGTGCCAGAGTGATCATGTCAAAATACAAGACAAATGATGTCACTCCTCTGCTATGAATACAAGATTGGCTAAAATCACATTCAGTGCAAGAGCCAAATTCCATTCTAGAACATACTTACAGAGCTCTAACCTGTCTGCTTCTCCCCCATCCCCATTACCTCTCTGAAATCACCTCCTGCCATTCTCTACCTTGCTCACTCAACTCCAGCCTTGCTGTCATTGTTCCTGTTCCTGGAACTTGCCAGGCCTACTCAGCACTTGCTGTTCCTCTACCTGAAATACTCCTTCCTCAGACAGCTACATGGCCAGTTCTCTTACTGCCTTTAGATCTTCACTCAAGAGGTAAGTTCTAACCCCATGCAGTGGCTCATGCCTATAATCCCAGCTAGTCCAGAGGCTGAGGCAGGAGGATCACTTTGAGCTCAGCAGTTCCAGGCTGCACTGGAACTACCCCAGCTATGATCTAAGCACTGCACTCCAGCCTGGGAAGCAGAGCGAGAACCAGTCACAAATTAAATAAATAAACAGTAATTTTTTAAAAAGGAAAGTTCTCAGTGAGGCCTTCCCTGACCACCTTGTCTATCTAATTTCACCTCTACCCTGAAACTTCATATGTCAATTTTTTCCTTTATTTTTTCTTCTTGGCACTTGTCACTACGAAAACATTTTACATCTACTTATTTATTTTGGCTACTGTCTCTCACACGAAAATGAAAGCTCCCTGAGGGTAAGATTTTTTTTTATTTGTTTCTTTTGTTCATTTCTCTATCATTAGTATGTACACTTAGAACAGTGATAGGAACAGAGCCCACCCAAAGTAAGGATTTGTGGGATGAAGAAAAAAACAAATAAATTAAAAAGCAAATGGAGGGAGGGAGCAAATGGGGTCAAAGCAAGTCAAAAGGGGCAGTTTTCCCTGGCTCTAGCCTCAAGGATACAAACACAAATGATTCCAGGGGACAATACACTTTATTAGAGTGAAACAGGCCAGCTGGGGGTGTGGCCAACTGGAGAGGGCATTCTGAGTCTAAAATGGGCTGAGCCCTACCTCAGCCCCAGCTGCTTGTATCCTTGTTGGAATGTGGGCCCTAATCTTTATGTTTTTTTCTTCTGTTTCATTTTCAGGAGAAGTCAGAAAGATGGATTTTCATCATGTGAACTCTCCCAAACGCCTAAAGTACCTAGTTTAAAATAGAAAACAATAAAAACACAATGTTCAGACCAAACCTGACAACAGAATGAAACTGGTTCCTGAACAGTCTGGTGGTGTTTCCTGGGCTAAATTGTGTGATATATAAAAGAAAGATTAGTCCCTGCCATGGTGAGGTGGGCTTGCCTTGTGCAAATCTTGAGGCAATCAACTTCAGGTCATGTCTGGTGGAGAGAATGAACTGGATTTACCACCGTCCTTCAACTCCTGAAAGTTTCTTGCCTCCCCCCACTATTCATGTAGTTATGGAAACCTGAGTCATGGGGAGTCACCAGCACTCTCTTTGGGAACAAGGGTATAATTTGGTGAAGGGTGGGGATGTAGAAACCAGAGAGAGAGGGTTTTCAGAGGGACCACAGGAGGAAGGAGGACCAGAGAAGGACAAGGAGGAGAGGAAGAGAGGGACACAGACCTGGACACCATAGTTCTGAGGGACTTTACTGGGATTGTCACTCCCTCTCCCCACCAACCACAACCCCTCCATGTGGCACTATACAGCCAAATCAGTTAGTTATACAAAGTCACAGCTGCCAGTGCAACTGCACCATAGCATCTACCTCACCAGAAAACAAAGAGCTGCACGAACTTCTACCCAGCTCCCTGTGAGCATGGGGTGGGCACGATCAGCCAGGAGGTACTAGTGAGAGGACAGAAGAAACTGGCTTTGTGAGGGGTCTATCCAGAATGGGGCTTCTGGGAGCAGTGGGCCTCCCTTTGGTGGAACACTGGTTACAGCCACCTGTGGTTCCAGGCACCTGCTGAAAGAAGCATGGATAGTTGAGCACTCCCCTTGCCTTGGAGAGAGACATCTTTGTTGGCCCTCCCCTGTAGGGAAACAAGGAACATTAGAGCAGGGGGAAGAACAGTGATGGGACTGCTGTACCCAGTTTCAGTAAGTTACATTTTCTGGATAAAATACTTTCCAAACCCAAGATGGCACTCTCTTAAGTTCTGAGAGCACCACGAACCCATTCTCTACAAGTGTTGTTAATCTGGTGTAGGGTAAATGAACCAAGACCTTCAGGCCCAAGATGGACTGCACGTGTGCCTTCTGGGAAATGTGAGGAGTTAGCCCACTGCCCAGTGCTTAGGGAGCACCATGTTAGTGTGTTTAGGCCAAGGGCTGGGGTTCTGCTGGGCAGGTGCGGCATGAACTCCCTGAAACAAGAAAAGTCCTGTAGGTATAAACTTGACTCCTGTTTAACTTGTCTGAGTCATGCCTGTCAAAATGCCCTTCTAGGGAACCTCCAATGCACCTGGCTTCTTTGACAGTTGACACTTCCTTTGTGCACAGAGCCAGGGAGAGCAACAGGGATACTGACAGAAGTCTGACTTTTTCTTGAGCCTTCTCATACCTCTTGGGACCCACTCCCCACATCTCTTTTTCTGTATTCTCACTCCCTCTGTCAGTATGTCTTCTTTGAAGTCTTCCTTATTCAGTGTTCCGCCCTTTCCGTTACCTACCCCCTCCCACCCCTACACAGACCCTCCCTTTGTGTATCCTTTAGCCTCTCCCCAGGTCCCTGCCCATGTGTTCTTTCTTCCCCTGATGCCAGACCTCTTCTAAGCTTCTTGGTGTCCCTCTCTACTCAGTTTATTCTGCCTGTTTTCCTCTAAGCCTCAGGATCTCACTCTCCCTCTATAATTTTTCACTCCCTTCCCAGCTGGATATTTCCTCCTCATAGGTCATCCTCTCCTCCAGGGAGCTTCTCTCTTTCTGGCCCTTCCCCATCTCTTCCTAAGCAGTCATCTCCTCCTCTCCCTTCCCCCACAGTCCATCTATAGTTCCTCCCCACCCCCACACCTACAACTCCAGACCAGACCAGCTAAGTCCCATGCCATTTTTAGATGACTGACTGTGATTCTAGCTGAATTGACAGCTGTTCCTTCCTTTCATGCCCCATCCACTAAATGTACCCAATCTTTTCAATAAGACAAAGTGCTTACACACAGCATGTCATGCCCACATAAATTTGTATTTTTTAGAACAAAACAAGTTATTCTGGCAAAGATGTTGAGTTATCAGGGACCCTTAAAGTTTTCAATACACTGAAAAACAACATTTTTTGTGTATCTACAAATTAAGCATTTGTTTCCACAAATGTGGCAAATTTTATCCTAACAGTTAGGACTTTTTCACCAAATCATAGACATAGATATGGAAATCATCATCAAACTTGATGAAATACACAGAGGGTTTGGCTTCCACTTGGTGAATGACCATGCCCATCCTTTTGGAGCCATCTTCTTTGATATATTCCACATGCTTACCTATCAGGCCATCTACAACTCCTCCTGGATCCCTCTCTGCTGGAGGAGACTCACTGGATTCTGGCATAAGGCGGAGGTCACCTTCTTTATAATCATCTAGAAGCTGGTACATGTACAAGACAGGATCTTTCTCATAGGTAATATAAAACCAGGCTTTCATGATAGGTGCTTGGGCTAAGACCATCCCCCTCCACTCATCCTTAGAACCATGCTCACCCTCAAACATATGTTCCACTGCTTTGCCAATTAAGGTATTTGCAAGGCTGGCATCACTAACTTGAGATGACGCCACCCTGTGGGAAAGAATTTTAATAGACAAAACCCTTTCATCTCTGTGAAGTTCCAGTCCATAGACACAGTCAATTCCATCATATTTCACCAGATAAAGAGAGGGATTTATAGGCACCTGATCCAGAACGGTTCCTTTCCACTGCGTGACAGGCTCATCTCCTTCTTTCCATCCGTGAGAAATCCTGCAGCCCACGATGTTCCTGCGGGGCTGGGTTGAAGGTCTGCCCCTCTGATTCTTTGGGGAGGCTTTTTTCTTTGTCAAGTTTGCAGACCCAGTGGCCCGTCCCACAGCTGCCCTAGTTTGTTGCCCTTGGGCCTCCTGTGTGTTGGGGGTCTTCATGCCTGCTGCTGGTGGGGGTGTAGGGAGAGGGTAAAGAGAAATATCTAATATGCCATAAGGTGAACTTTCCCCTATAGCCATGTCGCTACGTATCCTGCACCAGCGCGTAGGTTTCCCCCATGAGCCTGGCAGCAATGCTGGAAATCCTGGCTGTGTGCTTGCAGTGCTCTCCCTCTTAGCTTCCTTTGGGCTGTGGGAGGGGCTGGAGTGGGAGGTAGAGCTGGCTGTGTTAGGAATTCTGCAGAAGGGGCAGGCTACCTCCTCCTTGCTCAGTGATCACTGCCACTGTTGTCCACTCCTGATCTCCTGCAAAGCACCTATCCCTCCAGTATCTTGGCCGGCACCCACTGCCCTCCTGCCCTGAGCGCCCCACCTTGCCGCCCATGAGCCCCCTGCCTGCCCCAAGTGCTCCCCTGGCACCCACCTCCCTTGCTCCCCCACGCGCTCACCTTCAAATCCTTATGTGTCTCCTAACTCCAACCCCTTTTCCTGTTGCCCACCGCACTCGCACTCCTCCACCCCACACTTGCCCGGCGCTCACCCCTACCCCATATCTCCTGCCAGATTCCTTCCCATCCCCCCCTCCATTCTGGCGCCCACCAATGGCCTTGCGCTGCCTGGCGTCCTCCAGCGGGGATCCTGTGGGCCTCAAGTGCTGGAATCCCAGAATCCGACACCTTGCTGCTGACTCCCCTGTGAGCCTATGGGGTAGGGGGATCAGTAGGCGACCAGCCAAGTGAGTGCTTGCAAGAGTTGGGAGGGTATGATCCGTAGGTGAGCAGCGTGTCTAGGAGGGCTGCGAGGCACGCAAGAGGACCGAGGCGACAGCAGAGTCCCCAGCGCTTGGCTTGGGGTCCCTCTGTCTCCCTGTCTGTGGAAGTGGCCCTCTGCCACATTGGACTAGGTGCTGCTGCTGTCGCAGCAGTCTGGTTCCTCTTTCTGTATAGGACTAGGGTCTTTGTTTCCTGTTTGTACAGGAACTGATGTCTTCCCTTCTTGCTAAAATGGAGCAACCTGCCTTTCTTGTGGTGTAGGTCCTCCAGGGCTGCTGCTTCCCTTTACTAAATTCAGAGCACTGAAACCTGTAGGTGGCCCATTCTCTCTTTCTACCACTTTTAGCTGGATCCTATAGACCTCTAGCTAGCTCCACCCCTCTGATCTCTGGCTCCATCTGTTTTCTGGCTCTCACACATTCCTTACATATTTTTTGCAGATACAGAAATTAATACATTAATATCATATTCATGCATATAGGGAGACATAATTCCATTGTGTTTATACATAACTATATGTATACGTACACAATATATATTAATAAACATGTATATACATTCACGAAAATTCTTATCCATCCACATAATTCAAAACACAAACCTCTGCACTCAATCACATAACACATAGACATAATTTTCTGCATATCTATATACACTGGTAAATACACCTATTAGGACTTTCTCCGAAGCAGAGTGTAGGCATGTTTTAGATTTAGAGTCCTAGTTTGAAGAAGTAGAGGCTTATTTTAGGATTAAAGAGTTATTCTTAAACATGATTTTGATTTCTAACAAATCTTATCAAGTTTTGCATAAAATGACATCATTTTTAATTTTGTTTGTATCCTTTTTTGTTATTTATAATTTTTACACACTATCTTATAATTCTGAAAATACTCAACAATATTAGGATGCTGTATCAAAGTAGAATGTTTCAGTTACACGTAGTGGTAAATACTCAAATAGGTGTACAATAAATACAATTTATTGGCTAAGGCTTTGAAAACATTTTAAAAGTTCTTAGTTAAGCTTAATCTTGGTGATCAGTGTGGTGGGCTGTACTGTGTCCCTTTAAAATTCATATGTTGAAGTCCTAGCCCCCAGTACCTTAGAATGTGATGGTGTATGGAGGTAATGTTCTTTAAAGAGGTACTTAAAGTAAAATGAGGTCATATATATGGCACTTAATACACTGTGACTGGTGTTCTTATAAAAGTTGCGATCAGGACACAAATACACAAAGTGGAAAGACTATGTGAAGTTGAAGGGAGAAGATGGCAATTTATAAGTCCAGAAGAATTGCCTTAGGAAAAAATTCAACCATGCTGATAACTTGATCTTGGCTTATTGTCTTCAGAAGTGTGAGACAATACATATTTGTTGTTTGGGCCACCAGATATGGCTTATTTTGTTATGGCGGCCCTAGCAAAAAAAATTACTTTCACCAAAAATTACTTTGTTGTCACCAAAAACCTAGTTTTTTCAGTTTTCTATTTTCTCTCTAATGTCAGTGTCATCTTAAAACTCATGTGGCAATATGGCTTTCAGCAACTTTGAGAGCTATATGCTTCCTTATTCTCATATAGTGACAGAGATAGTATTTTTCATCAGCTTTTGCATGTTTTTTAAAATTCTTTTTTTTTATTTCAGCATATTACGGAGGTACAAATATTTAGGTTACATATATTGCCTTTGCCCCACCCGAATCAGAGCTTCAAGCCTATCCATCCCCAAATGGTGTGCACTGCACGCATTAGGTGTGAATATACCCTTTCCCTCCTCCCCCCTCCCATCTGTCCAACACTCGATGAATGTTACTGCTATATGTTCACTTAAGTGTTGGTCAGTTAAGTCAGTTAATGACAATTTGGTGGTGAGTATATGTGGTGCTCATATTTCCATTCTTCTGATACTTCACTTAGTAGAATGGGCTCCACTTCTATCTAGGATAATAGAAGAGATGCTAGCTCACCACTGTTTTGTGGCTGAGTAGAATTCCATGGTATGCATATACCACATTTTATTGAACCACTCATGCATTGATGAGCACTTGGGTTGTTTCCACATCTTTGCAATTGTGAGTTGTGCTGCTATAAACATTCAAGTACAGATGTCTGAATATATAATAGTTCCATGTATTTATGTGGAACATATGATATTTTGGTACAAGCATTCAAGATGTAATGATCAAATCACGAAAATTGGTATATCCGTCACCTCAGAAATTTATCACTTCTTTGTGTTGGGAACATTACAAATCTAATATTTGAGTTATATAATAAATTATTGGTAACTATAGTCACCTTATTGTGCTACCACACACTAAACCTTATTTCTCCTGCCAAAGTATATTTCGTACATATTAACCAACCTTTCCTTATTGCCCCTTTCCCACTACTATTCCCACCCTCTGGCCACAACCAATCTATTCACTGCCTCCATGAGATCACCTTTTTAGTTTCTATATATGAGTGAGAGCATGTGATATTTGTCTACACACACACACACACACACACACACACACACACACACCACATTTTCTTTATCCATTCACCCATTGATGGACACTTAAGCTGAGTCCATATCTTGAATATCATAAACAGTACTGCAATCAACATGAGAGTGCAGATAGCTCACTGATATGTTGATTTTTTTCTTTTGGATATACACCCAGGAGTGAGATTGCTGGATAATATGGAATTTCTATTTTTTGCTTTATTTTGTTTTTTGAGAAACTTCTATACTCTTTTTCATTATGGCTATACTAATTCACATTTCAACTAACAGTGTCCAAACGTACCCCTTCCTCCACATCCTCACCAGCATTTGTTATTTCCTGTCTCTTTTTGATAATAGCCATTTTAACTGGGGTAAGACAGTATTTCATTGTGGTTTTGATATGTGTTTCCTTAATGATTAATGATGGTAAACATTTTTTTCATATACATGTTGGCATTCGTATGTGTTATTTTGAGAAATGTCTGTTCAGAACTTTTGATCATTTTTAATGACATTTTAAAAAATATTGAATTACTAGAGTTTGTTATATATTCTGGTTATTAATTGCTTGTAACTTTAATAGATTTCAAATATTTTCTCCCATTATGTAGGTTGTATTTTCACTATTATAACAGTTTCCTGTGCAGAAGCATTTTATTTTTTTAATATGTTGCAGTTTTTTTATTATTTCAAAATATTATGGGGATACAAATATTCTTGGTTACATGGATTGTTTTTGTTATGCTTGAGCCAGGGTTATAAGTGTGCCCATCGCCCAGATAGTGATCATTGTACCCATTAGATAGGTTTGTGTCCATTCTTTCCTCCCCACTTCCCCCTACTTGATTTCCATTGAGTTTAACTTCCCTCTGTGCACATGTGTACTCATCGATTAGTTCACATTTAATAACAAGTATGTGTGGCTTTTGTTTTTCCATTCTTTAGATACTTTATATAATTGTTTCTGGTTCCAACCAAATTGTTGCAAAAGGAATTAATTCATCCTTTTTATGGCTGAGTAATACTCCATGGTATACATATGCCACATTTTATTAATCCACTCATGAAATAATGGGCACTTGGATTGATTCAACCTCTTTGCAATTGTGAATTGTGCTGCAATGAATATTTGAGTACAGACATCTTTTTTTTTATTTCAGAAAAATATGAAAGTACAAACATTTTGGTTGCATTTTGTATCTTTGCTTCTCCCTAGCAAGAGTTAGAGGTATGCCCCTCCCCTTCACAATGCTTACCGCATCCCTCAATTGTGATTCTACCCCCCCTCAACCCCCTAATCCCTGGAGAATGTCACCACTGTTTGAGCACCATAGTGTTTATCAGTCAGTCCCAATTTTATGGCAAGTACATGTGGAGCCCATTCTTCTGATCTTGTGTCACCTCACTTCAGATAATGGGCTCCAGCTCAATCCAGGAAAATATAAGCGGTTCTAGATCACTGTCATTTCTCATAATTGAGTAATATTCCATTGTATACATATGCCAAATTTTAATGATCAACTCATGGATTAATGGGCACTTGGGTTGTTTCCACATCCTTGTAACAGTGAATTGTAATGCCATAAACAGTTGGGTGAAGATGTCTTTATTATAGAATGTCTTATGCACATTTGGGTAGATGCTTAATAATGCTATTGCTGAATCAAATGGTATTTATATTTTTACCTCTTTGAGGTATCTCTAAATTTTTTTCCACAGAGGTTGCACTAATTCGCAGTCCCACCAGCAACGTAAGAGTGTTCTTGTCTCTCCACATCCTCGCCAGCATTTGTTGTTTTGGGATTTTTTGATAGAGGCCAATCTCACTGGGGTTAGGTGATATCTCATTGTGGATTTGATTTGCATTTCTTTAATGATTAGAGATGTTGAGCATTTTTTTACATGTTTGCTGGCCATTATTCTGTCTTCTTTGGAAAAGTTTCTGTTCATGTCCTTTGCCCATTTATTGATGGGGTTGTTTGATTTTTCTTGTTGATTCTTTTAAGTTATAGGTAGATTCTTGTTATCAGCCCTTTATTGGATGTGTAGGGAGCAAATATTTTCTCCCATTCTGTAGGCTGTCTATTTGCTCTAATGATAGTTTCCTTGGCTGTGCAGAAGCTTTTTGATTTGATCAGATCCCATTTGTTTGTTTTTGTTACTGCTGTGATTGCTTTGGGGGTCTTTTTTATAGAATATCTTTTGTTCTTTTGAGTAGATGTCCAGTAATGGGATTTCTGGATCAAATGATAGTTCTACTTGTAACTCTTTGAGGTATCTCCATATTACTTTCCACAGAGGTTGTACTAGTTTGCTGTCCAACCAACAGTGTATGAGTGTTCCTATCTCTCGGCATCATTTAGTCTTTGGGGACTTTTTGATAAAGGCCATTCTCACTGGAGATAAGTGATATCTCATTGTGGTTTTGATTTGCATTTTCCTGATGATTAGAGAAAGACATCTGCACTAGAATGTTTATAGGAGCACAATTCACAGTTGCAAAGATGTGGAGACAACCCAAGTGCCCATAA